TTCTAATAAAGGATTGTGGTACCGTACCTCTCTACAACACTGTCAGCAGTGTTTTCTACCTGCTGCCACCACATGAGGCATTTGTTTGTTTGTTTGTCTGTTTAAACCGGCACCACAAAGCTGGGCGCCATTCAAAGGAAGAACCTATTTTTACTTCCTTTGCCAGCGTTACACCACATGAGATGGACCCCAAATGGCTTCTTCAGCTTCTTTTAAAATTATTTAACTTTGATGCACTTCTTTATAAATTCACTTTATTCATTCTGGAGTCATTTAACTCGTCCCAAGTAGAAGTTTTTAAGCCAACTACTGGAAATTCTTGTATTTTTCCATAAATAGAGTTGTACATAGAGAAGATAGGCTTTGTTGATAAAACTTTCCAGTACATGAGCTAAAACATGCAAAAACACCAGTATGCTCCTTCTTCATGACCTCCTGCGATATTTGGATTCAGCACATTTCAATTGTCCAAAACCAGCTCTAAAAACTTTGGGCGTTATCTGTCAGTAACCTGAAGTAAACCCTGTGTGTGCCTCAGCAGGTAAGAGATCGTCCATCTCTAGAACCGAGTCCTCCGACTCCTTCCAGCGCCGAGGCCACTTCCTGGCCCAGACCTCAGGAGACTGCTCCTCCTCCTCCTCCTCCTCCTCCCTGCCTGCAAAGGACCCTCTCGCCGACCCCTTCGCCCCCTCCTCCCCTCCTCGCCACAGCGTACGGGAAGCTGACCGGTTTGCCAGCTTTGACAAAGTGAGCACCTCCCTCTCGTCGTCTCCCTCACCTCCACCTGAATGTGACTAGTCGCACCCTCTCCTCTCTGTCTTCCTGCTAATCAATCACATCTAGTCGCTCAGAAAAAAAAAAAAAAAGGGTTCGAGCAAATCGGGTCGGCTTTTCAAATCGCTCCATCCACTGCCAGACAGAAACTAGTCCTCTCCTGTTCCGGTTCCGGCACCGGTTCTCACCGCGACGTTTGTATTTGTTTGCTTTGTTGTGCTGCTTTGTGTATATTTTAACTCCTCATCACCAGCGTTTCCTTTGCCGTGTAGAGATTGTTACCGGGCGTTCAGAGTGACACTGCACTGTCTGTACAGAAACGGCCTCGCAGAAATTATATTAATATATTAAATCTAGAAGAAACCTGCTCGTAGTTCAGAGAGTTTCTGATGAATTACAGATATAGTTATTAGTCCCTGATGCTTGGCAGTGAATGGAGAGATGAGAGGCTGCTTGTATTTGGCATTTGTTGGCCATCCCAACGCAGCTCAGACCAGGCGTAAGAGTCTGATTCCAGATATGTTCGAGGTTTTGTGCTGCTTAAACACTGAAGTTTGTCTTGTGGTTAATTCAAGCCTCGTTACGATGCGTTTCAGCTCAATCAGCGTCATTAAAGCTGAGCTAACGAGCTGCAGAGTGACGCCTGCTGCTTCCCGTCTCACTGATCTTCAACCTACAAGTTTTTAATGAAGCTAACTTATAAAGCCGCAGCACAGAGGCCTTTTCAGACACTCAACCGGTCACGTGTGAGCAAAATAAACGAAGCTGCGGGAATTAAAATCCTCTCGGCTCTTCCCTGAAGCTGCAAGTTTGGGATGGACGACTAAATGCAAAGAGCGCGTTGGTTCTCTCCCGTCGCATGTTGAACCTGCACGCACTAACCGTGTGTTCCGATTGGCTGCCTGTCATCCACTCACACCTCCCCCCTCCACATCCACCGTCCCTCCAATCAACGGCTGCGTTCCAACATCCACGCTTTTAATACTACATAGCACGCCACAGAGAAGAGTTGTGCGGTACCAGGATGTTGCACTACGTTACCCACAATCCTGAGCGCAGCGACGTCTCACGTGAGCGTAAACGAGCTCGACAGAAGTTTAAGAGCAGCTGTTGGCAGAATACGTGATTTGGAACGCAGCCGGGGTCTGTTCATCCATTCATCCATCCATTCATTCATCCCCTCTGTTCATCCGCTCATCACTTCCTTCGGTGGGCCGGTCAGCCGTGTGTTGTGGAGAATCAGAACGCCTGTATTCTCTCTCTGTGTCTCTGTCAAAGAAGTTTAATAAAGTGTTGAATCAAGGGCTCCCTCTCTGGCTTCTATGTGCATCCATGACATCCGCAAAACCCCCCTGAGCTTCAGAGGAGCACGTTTTTTATTTTATTTTAGAGTTCTGATTGCACTTCACATGGCCACTGAGCATCTTCTCGTTATGTTGTCCTGTAGTTTCTGCATTATAGCGCCACTGGAAGCAGAGATATCGTAGATTTTGTGCTTTTTTTTTTGCTCTAAATTATCACAGAAGCTGAATTTTAACTCTAACAGATGCTTTAGAGATCATGACGGATTCATCTCAGACCAGTTCTGTGTCTGCACAAGTTGATTTTTGGGTATTTTTACGTGAAAAAAGCACCAGTATGCTACCTTTAGTCCTATTAAATACCTTAAAAGGTAAAATAATGACCAGATAACAAAGATGTGAAGGTTTTCTTCTGAGTTCTGGCATAAAGAGCATCATTCCTACTTCACTGACGTCTGATTTCATTCCTGTTTGAGGGGAATCGGTGGGACATTGCATGTTAAATCCATCTTGTGTTTCTCATCATGCATGTTGTGCATGCCGCCAAAGCACCGGCTCTGAAGTAGCTGCTAGAGGCCGTCGGTGGCTGCTGCTTCCTTTCCTTTTGCATGGCTGGATCCACACTGGCTTCTGTCTGTCACCTATCGAGAGTAACGAACGTCCAGTCTGTAACGATGAACTAACTCGGCCAGTGTTGTGTTTTTACGTTTCCTTCCTGCTCCCCTTTGTCGTCACAAAGCTAAACACGGGCCTGATTCTGGTCGTTTATCGTCGGTAAAAGTCCAAGTTGCATGTTTTCCTCCCGTCTCAGTCCCTTCTTTCAGTTTCCTCCATTACATTTATAACGACTTGAACCTTAACGGTGAAGGATGGGAAGTCTTGTTGAGGACGTTTTGATCCAGCTAAATGGATTTCAGTCTGTTTTAGTTTTAAATTATTTCACACAGTGATGCTCCTTTCTTAAGATGGACATTTTGACTTTGCAATCAAACAGTTTACTGTTATTTGACAGATTTCCCCCTTTTTATTGGTAAAATACTGAAAATATCTCGTAAAATTGCAGGAAAAGGAGGTTAAATTACATCATGGCTATAACAAAAAAACTGTAAAGTCCACATTAAATCTGTATTTTTATAAATGGTAATTCGATCTGTTACAAACTTTAAAATTACATTATTTTTTACTGTTTCTAAATCAGACATTTTCTCTTATTTGCAAATAAAAATCTGCATATTCAGGGTTGAACAATAGTTAATATATTTTTTAAATAGTAAAATCACAGAAAGAAGTTAATTTATATGTTAAGTGTAAAAACAAAAACAAAAAAAAAAGAAGAAAAGAAAAAAACGGGTCAAAACTGTAAATAATGTCAGTTCTTAGTGTCTAATGTTAAAATTAGACAGTTTTTAAAAATTCTTTAAATCAGAATTATTTTTTTTTTTTGATATTTGCTGTTTTTTGAAAGAAAAAATTGTATATTAAGGATTAATAATTAATTTTAGAAACCGTTATTTTGCAGTTGTCAATAATGTCTCCAATAAAACTTAATTGTTTTTACTGCATTTGAGAGTTAATTTAAACTTTTTTTTTTAACTCAGTTTAAATCAGCAAACGATGTTATTTTACAAATATTTTCTATTATTTGAAAGAAAAATTTGATGTTTTAAAGAGTTAAAATTTTTAAATACCAAAATTTACAATTAAAAGTAAAAATAAATAAATAAATAAACAAACTACATTTTAAAAAATTAACTAATTAATAAAATACCAAAATTTGTATTTTTACAAATGGTCATTTTTTATTTTGCAGTGTTCGACTAGAAAATTACATTTTTTTTCTGGACTTAAATCAGTAAAAGTATTGTCATTTTACTGATATTTGTCATTATTTGAAAGAAAAAATCTGCATATTAAAATAGATAAGTTAAAAAAAAAGGTTAAATCACATTAATTTTACACGTTGACTGTAAAAAAAAAAAAAAGATTTAAAGAAACATGGAAAAACTAAAAATAACATCCATATTTAAAAAAAAAAAATTCTTACAATTTTCCTTTCTTTCTTTTTCTGTGACTGTAAAATTACAGTTTTACAGTTTTTAAATGAGCAAACATGCATTTAAACAGTTATTTGCTGTTATTGTCACAGTTATTAAAGGCTATTTTCAGGCGAGTTTTCTTGACTGTGATTCTTCTCAATGGATCAACGTCACTGTTTTTAGTCTCTCAGATAAATGAGAACAGAAGAAGTCAAAATGTGGACTTTGAGAGAGCTCTGTTGTCAGCCAGTTTTAAAATCCCTTCTGTGCGTGTTTCTGTATCCTTTTTTTTTTTTTTTTTTCCTTTTTTTCTGTTTCCATGGCGCAGTATCCGACCGAGGAAGACATGATCGAGTGGGCAAAGCGCGAGAGCGAGCGAGAAGAAAAGGAGCGACTGGCAAGACTCACCCAGCAGGAGCAAGAAGACCTGGAGCTGGCCATCGCTCTCAGCAAGTCTGAACTCTCCTGAGGCGCCTCCACGTCCCCTCCCCCTGCCCCTCCCCCTCCCCCTCCCCCTCCACTGGCCTGGCCCGGCTCGGCACGGCACGGCACAGCCCGGCCCGGCCCGGCCCAGAAAGCACCAAAGCAAAGTGGGGATTGTACAGGACTGACTCGCCCCATGGAGAGACTTCTCTGAACCTTCCAGCGCCCTTCTTCCTCCTCCTCCTCCTCCTCGCAGCGTCACGTTTTGTTTCCATCCCGTTGTGGGTTTGGATCGGACCGAGGAGGCGGAGAGTCTGCGCTGCTGAGGGATGGAGATTTTCAAGTGTTAACATTTTTTCATGTTGTTGTCACTTCAGAACCAGGATGCCGCATTAACCCTCGAGAATGTAATTTATTTAAACACGCACTCAAATCTAGATTGAAGACGGTCCAGTTTCTACCCGCTAACCGAACTCACTACACTTTACTAAACTCTCCTCTGTCCAGCCTCTGAGTCTGTGAGCATTTAGCACACGCTAGTTTTGTAGAACCCAGAAAACTTTTTGTTAATTTCCTGGAGCGACCACAGAAATCTGGGAAAAGCGTCGGGGTTTTTGTAGCTCCCGTAGCTGAATTTAGTGTCTGTATATCTTAAATTTTTTTTGAAATGGAGCGACCACGTGTTGCTTCAGATGAGATTAATTTGTGTTTTTTTATTTTTCACAACGGGGCTTCAACTCGTGTCTAACTGGAAGGTCCTGAGATGTGAAGCGCTCGTGTAGATTTGTACTAAAACGGAACAACTGAGACATTCAGCCTGGAGATGCTTTATTTTTCTTTAACCTCGCTTAGCTTAGCCTCTGTTCTGTCAGAGTTTATTTTCGAGAACTACATTAAAACTACACGTGGAGTTGCATTAAAACATTTAGGGCGCACTACAGAACAGAAAACATTAATCCCAACGTTTGATATCTGAGATTCTCCCGAGTAGTCATTAGCTTTAAATCGGTGTAAAATGTTCACTTTAATATCTGAAACACTTTGTGGTCTGAGAAGAAAGAAAATGCAGAAATGTAGCAGCAAAACTGGAGAGTTTGAACATTAACATTGAAATATTTGAATTAAATATGGATTTTTATGTGCAGAACCCACTTAAACTACGGTTCTCTCTTTGGGGAACCTCCTCAAAGCAGCATCTTGCTTAAAAAGCTCATCAGCAGCATTAACTCTGGGCGAACATCCACATTTTTATGGGCTGAATCGTGTTCAAAATGAAAACTTTATTACTGTGCAATCGTCATTTCACCACATTTTGTCCCACGTCAACGTCGGTGCTGCTTTTTGTTTCGTATTAACTTTCTACGGATGTTCTTCCACTTCAGATCTCTGAGTCTTACACAATGTTTTAGCAGAAGTTGTGTAGCACTCCGGCAGAGTTGTGTGGATTTAAGCTGCTGGCGTGGCGCTGCGTCCGAACATCTGCTCAGCAGCTGGCCAGCCGGCGATTCTTCTCGATTGTGAAGTTACTCAACACTGAACTGTGATAGAAGGTTTCCGATGAGGGACGAGTGTAGGAGGCCTTTGTTGTTGTTTTTTTTGTTTTTGTTTTGCTAATTTCCGACCAAATGATGCACAACATGTTGGACAGCTCGCTCTGTCCAGTTTCGAGCCTCGTTCAGAACAAGTCGTTTCCTCGTTGAACCAGTCCCGCTGGACGTTTTCTTGTAAATACAGGAGAGCAGGAGTTGCATGTGCGCTCTCTCGGCCTCTTGTTTGTCGTTATACTCTTAGTTTCCTTCAACACCTGTTCATGTTACTGTCGTTTGTACAGACGCTGCAGATTTTACAAATCCAGAACCACTTATGTTTCTAGGCTTACCCATAAAGGCTTTTTAAAAACTCAAGCTAATTGTATTTTATTTTGTATTTTCTAACTTGTAAGAAGAATCATTATCGCGAGGTTTGGCCAGAATATGTAATGCATTTAATTGAAACAGAATAAATATTAAAATGTGTAGTTTTTCAGTTTGTGCATTTTTTTGTTTCTTGTTTCTGTCGTGCTCAGCCGCCAGTGGAAGGAGATGCATTCACACCCTTTAATGTAGTTATTTGGGAAACTTTGCACTGCAAGCAAACGTGATGCTTTCAAAGAGGATTCAGTTTAGTGGGTCTAGAAAGTGCGGTTCAGTACATTAGAACAGTTCTATGACTTCAGAGGAGAAAAGAACTGATGATATGATATCGACTTGGATTTGTGTATATATGTTAGCTGTTAGCTACTTGACACTTCTGCTAATGCTAACAGCACACAGAGGTTCTGTTATCCTGCTACATTATTTAGAGCAATGAAAAAAAACCCAAAAACGAATGAAAATCAAGTCAATTGGAAGAAGGTTATTTGGTTTCATGAGTCCAAAGTTGAACTTTTTGGCTATCAGATTGAATGCTGTATTTGGCAAACACCAAACACTGCACGTCCCCCACTGTGAAGCACGGTGGTGGCATCATCATGATATGAAGCACGGTGGTGGAAGCATCATGATGTGAAGCACGGTGGTGGAAGCATCATGATGTGAAGCATGGTGGTGGAAGCATCATGATGTGAAGCATGGTGGTGACATCATCATGATATGAAGCACGGTGGTGACATCATCATGATATGAAGCACGGTGGTGGCATCATCATGATGTGGGGATGCTTCTCGCAGCAGGCCCTGGAAAGGCTTGTAAAGGCAGAGGGTAAAATGAAAGTAGCAAAATATAATAAATCCTTGAGAACAACCTGATTCAGTCTGTGAGAAAACTGCTGCTTTGGAAAATATTTGTTTACCAGCAAGACAATGATCCAAACTTCACAGCCAAAGTTACACAGAAATGGTTTAAAGACAACAAGCTAAATGTTCAGAGCCTTAGAAAAAGGCTGTTCCAGTAGGATCCTTGTGAAACCTGAAAGTTTCACAAAGAAGAATAAACGTTTAGTGTCCAGATGTTCAGGCTCAAAGCTGCAGCCAATAAATGTTGTCTTAAGGTGGTGAATACTTATGCAATCACCTATTTCACCTTTTTCATTCGTTGACATTAATTGGTAGAAATCTGCTTTCACTCTTTTTTTTGTCAATACGTTGATAAAGCAATTAAAGTGCTTTCAAGGGGGTGAGTGCTTTCATAGACCCTGTATCTGCAGATGTTTGAATCATCATCGGTTGTCTCAAATCGAGGCATAACTAAGTATAAGTTATCGCTGACACCTTTAATATTTGTACTCGTCTTATTGCTAAAATGAATTTACACAGATTGAATTGAAAAGTTTCCACAAAACCCCTAAAAGCAAACTGAGAGACTGGAGAAGCTCACGAGTTAAGATTTCAAGTTTGAAGCTTCACGAGGAAAAATTCTGCAAGAAAGATGAAGACTGGTCGCTCTCCAGCTGTCCAGAGATCCCGGTAAGAGACAAGTCCAGGCAACAGCCTCTAGCTCACCTCAGAATATTAAAATCAGAGAGAACACTTTCTTGTTGTCTTGTTGTGGAGTTCTCATTTGTAGACCTGCAAACAACAGTCTTATTGTCCCATTTTGGTCATTTTGTGTCTCATATTGTCAGCGTTTTGTCTAAATTTGGCCATTTTGCATCTTTGTTATGTTTACTTTGCCTCATTTAGGTCATTTTGTGTCATATCTTGACCTTTTTCAGTCTCTTTATGGTTGTTTTTGTTCCATTTGAGCACTTCTTTCTGTTTCAAGTTCATCATTTTTATGTAATATTGTTAATTTTAAGTCTGCTTGTGTTTATTTTGCATCATTTTATGGTTGTTTTTGTCCTTGTTTAGATTTTTGGTGTCTACATTTGGTCATTTTCATTTCTTTATGGTTGTTTTTGTTCATTTTAGGTCTTTTCTGTGTCTCATGTTGATCATTTTGTCTGTCCTAATGTCATTTTATGTCTCATTCGTGTCATTGTGTGTCTCATATTGTCAACGCTTTGTCTAAATTTGATCATTTTGCATGTTTTATTGTGTTTCCTTTGCCTTATTTAGGTCATTTTGTTGTCATATCGTTGATTTTAAGTCTGCTTGTGTTTATTTTGCAGCACTTTATGGTTATTTTTGTCCATTTTAGGACTTTTTGTGTCTCATGGTGATAATTTTGTCTGTCCTAGTGTTCATTTTATGTCTCATTACTGTCATTTTGTGTCTCTTCATGCTGTTTTTTTTCTCCCATATTGGTAATTTTGTGTTTCCTTGCAGTAATTTTGCATTTCTTTATGGATGTTATCGCTTCATTGAGCCATGGTGTCTTATTTTAGTCATGTTGTATCTCTTTATAGTTGTTTTGTGCTAGTTTTTGCTTCATAGTTTTGCGCTGGACTGGGGGGAAAAAAGACAGATTTGAGGTTAATTTTAATGGAAATTCTACTAGAAGTTGTTTTTGGTTGTTCTTGTTTCAGCTGCTGTGCTCTACTTTGAACAGAAGGTGGCGCCACAGAGACAGGTACCAGAGCAGGTGACACACAGCCAGGCTGGATTGAACCATGATGTAATGATCCAACACCATGTGATGTTTGAAAATGTGCAAAGTGATTTTGTTCCTGTTTGAAGCTGAAACATCTGAGTGCACTTCTGCTCCTTCAACCAGAGAAAGTCTTGCAGGTCACGTCAAAAGATAAAAGTCTTGTGCAGGCGAGCAGTGATTGTGTGATTGTGTTGTGGAGCTTCTGTCCTTCCTCCTCCACTGTGCTGTGATGTTTCAGGACAACATGTGGCCGTTTTTAAAGATCTGAGCCAGATCTTTGTCGGATGTCGGCACCGATGTCCCTGCTGGACTGGTACAAACTGGGCCAGGAGCGCATCCTGGTTCTGCACACCTCTGAAGACATGCTCGACGACATCAAGGGTCTTTGTTTGTAGATGTTGCTCAGGTTATTTCCAGCAGGTGGACGCCTTCCACTGATTTAATAATCGTTACAGGCTGCGTATTTGTGCTTGTATCTTCTAAACACAGTGGAAGAAGATGACTTCAGAGCTACAGAGGTCTGAAAAAGCTCCAATTATGGGAGAGAAACGAGCTTTTCATGAGTTTCGGCTGCACTGCTTCTGGCTCAAAGGAAATTTTGACAATTTATGTTTGTTTCTTCACCAAAATACTGCATTAGCTGCAGTGGGAGATGTTTTTCTTCATGGAAATTAGGTTTAAGAAGTCTTAGATAAAAGGTGTGGACCATCAGACTCTGTTTTTAGAGAGTACATGTTTAACTGTGTTGCATTTGGGTCGTATGTAGCCTTGGTGTTGTGAAGCGTTCGAGTGTTTGAGTTTGTAGTGAGTTTTTCAGAGTTTGAATTAGAGGTGTTAATACTCTGAAGTGTTTTTGCTGCAATGGAGGAAAACCAGTTCCTTCCTTTTCCATTTCACTATCATTTGTGATATGACTTATGACCTCTGTCGACACTAAACCAAGTGGAAGATGCAGATATTGATCGTTCATGAGTAAATGAAGCGTGCAGAGACTTTTACATGTAGATATTTTACACATATGGTTCACATCTGAATGTATTTCATGAGTTTCCTTCGACCAAATAGGAAAAATTATCTTCATGAAATAAAAGTTTTTACTCCCAAATTGTACGTGTTTCATGTTATCTGTGAAATATTTGACATGTCTTTGAAAACAGTCGCCTCATGAGCAGGATCTTAACGTAATGTAGGTTTGAACAACGTTGAAATATAAAGAATGGGGTCAAATCCAATCCTCATAAATAATGAGACCATTACTGTCATTTAATTTGATTTACGTCAGATAGTTTCTCCCCACTGATCAGGCTTCACGCTGTGCTTCGACCAGTTTGATTATTTAACTTAAAACGTTTTACAGCTTGTCTCATTCAGAGTTCAAAGCATGCGTGTATTAATAGTTTTATAAATTAATGCCGTTGTGTTTGTCTGACAGTCACGCTGTCGATGGCATCACATGGCAAAGCTCCATCACATGTCTCACATCTATTACACAGTGAAAAGTGAACTGACGCAGGACTTTAAAAGGCTAAAAATCACAATATCTGTCCGAAAAATTGTGCATATTTTTTCCCAAATGTTCAGCCCCACTCAGTGATGGTGTTTATAGAAATGAGAAAAGATGACAGTTCATTCAGAGCAGCGATGGTGGAGGCCAGCATCATCGCTCCGTGTCTGTCTGAAGCACATGAACACCTGAAACAAATGAAGTAAAATACGTGACTCACTTAATGCCATAAAACGTTGCACCTTTTGTAAAACTTTTATGTTAGAATATGCCTCTGCTGTTGTTTCATTCATTCATTAAACATTTATTTAAACTCAGCACCTTGAGGTTTAAAGGCCTCCTTTCTTAAAAAAAAAATCAACAAAAAAAAAAAAACAGGAAGTGGCCGGAACTCACAGGCAGTGTTTTAGTTAGCAGTCACAGCTGTTTCCACCATCGGCGGCGAGGGGGGATAGAATATCACCACAACAACGGCGACTACGTTGTAAATGTGCTGCCTCTGGTTGGACAACGACTTTGAAGAAAACTTTAAAATCACAAGATATGCCCCACCATCACCATCCTGCTCGCTGCGTGTGTCCTCTTCTGCTCAAAGCAATTTCCCTGTAACAGCACACCAACCCCCCCTTGTTTTTTAAATGATGGTTCAGTCCAACTTCTCAGCACCCAGCCAGTGACGTCACTCAAGTCTTTTCCCGCTCATACTGTACAGAGAGGTAAGTGTTAGCAAATTTTCTTACCCATGTTTCATTATTTTTATGGTCTGACTGACATGTCAAACTCAACTTTTCAACACTGTTACATACATAAATGATATTTACTATTGGTTGGGGAAAAGAAAACAAATTTCTTGGAAAAATATGCTAATTTCTTGTTGTCCTCATGCCATATGCTGCTCCATACTGTAGCTCCTTGATTCTCAAACTGTGGTACGCGAGCTCCCTCCAGTGGTATGTGGAGAACGGTCATAAATATTTTTTGAAAATAAAATTATTTTGAAAATATATATTATCCAAAACACAGAATTAAAATACATAACATTACATATTAATTTCATATTGTCTTTCCTTTATTTTTGTCTTTATCATGTCCTCTCCCATCGTCTTCGCTGCTACCGCTGCTATTCGCTAGCTAGCGCATTCGCCGCTAACCGTTAGCAGTATTAGCTAAGACCTCCCGGTCCCTCTGGGATGCTGTCATGGAGCCATGTTTCTGTTAAAGCAGACACTCAGCAGTCCCTCCACTCTCTGCGGGTTTCTCTCAGCAAACGTAGCTCCTCCAGCTTGTTGTGGAGGGAGCGGACATTGGAGAGCAGGAGGACGGTCCTGCTGGTCTGGAG